ATTAAAATCAGACTCAATCATCATACAAAGAATAGTATTAGCAATATGTTTGTTACTGACTGTAGCAGTACTGCTATCAAATTCGTTTTGAAAAATATTTCTAACCCAAAATATATATTTTATTACAGACTTTATTTTCAACTGAAAATATAAATCCTGCACTGAACCTTTTATCTCTTCCAATGTTAAGTACTGCGCATATTTCATATAGAGGGATAATTTAGAGTAAGAAGATATAACATAAACGTGAAAGTGGAATACTCTAAGTTATAAATCTCTATCTTTTGAAATTTTATGTAGATTACTGTTAGTTTTCAATAATCACTCACAATGATAACATCAAATTGGTCGACCTTTCAATTAAGTTTCCTTTAAAAGTGCACCTCATGGGAAGAGACAATTTTCAACCAATTTTTTGATAGTACATAAATATATGTATCATTTAGAGAAGTTTCTCGTCAAATTTTACTTGGAAATTAAAAAAAAAAAAATCATTGCAATAAAAAAGATAAAATTTATTCAAATAAGGCCAATATTTAATGCATTCAAAATCATGTATGTTGATATTGATCCTGTGAAATCATCCTTTACTTCAGTTTACGTGATGATTTGTTGCGAAGTATTAAAAAAGTTTTCATAGCATTATAATCTTTGTCTGAAGTGTCTTTGCTTTGTTTCTTACCGATTCTCAATATATCAGTTAGTTTTATGGAAGGTCGCTTGTTTCAATTTCGCCTGTTTCTGTTTTCAATAGTAATATAAAAAAAGTGAAATGAAAAAAAACGAATAAATTTCAAATTGAGTCTATTTGCATATAACTGTGGAACAATTCTGATATATTATTAGTAACATCAGTTCTGAATAGCAATGAACCATAAAAAGTACCAAAATCATTCTCACTGGATTTTAGGAGGGAAATTAATTCAACTCAATTAAGCTAATTTTTATATAAGAGATAAAATCACATTCATTAGTGCGGTCTTGATTTTCTGAGTTTCTTTTTTTTTTTTTTTTCGGTACCATGCAGCAGAAATTTAGATGCATATATTAGGTACTGCTGCTAAATCAGCACGAGTGGACATTACCTTTTCAAGTGATCGCCATTTGATGGAAATAATTCATTCATTACTATAAATGATGACAATTCGAAACGAAACTTTGTGGATCCTTTTTTTTTTTGAATTTCAACGATACGAATATATTATCATGCTGCAGTGCATTTACTAAGCATGCATATACATATTTCATACAACGTATTTCATGATTTGACGTTAGACTAAAATTAATTTAATAAGATATTCTATCATTATTAGTACAATTGACTTAAGAATTATTTAAATCTTTTAAGAGAACACTGACTAAATCCATTTCGCCCCATTTTTCATAACGAAGAATCCCAGTCTATCAAACCTAAAGATACAGACTGTAGAGAATAAAAAACATCAGCATTTTCAGCTGCGATTGAACAAACTATGATTGATTTCTACAGATTTTAAATACACTGAACTGCACAATCTCCTACTTTGTTATTAGTTGTTCCTACTTTATTGAAATTTCTCACAAAAGATTCCTTTGTTGAATTATCTGGAGTACTGGTTAAATGATAAATGTTGTCCTTCTTTTCCCATCCATTTGAAACTATTTTAAAAAGGATTGCAATCAAATGCGACAATCTTTGGAGAATGGTAAATATCGAAAATCTTTTCGTTTTGTTAATATTACGCTTGCTTCATAACTATTTAATTCCACTTCATAATTAATAATTTTTTTTCTTTTTTTTTTTTTTTTTTTTAATAAAAGGAAATCGTTTTTAACAAATGTTATTTTTGGCTCATTTTTGACCATTCTGTACAGGGAAATGTTCATAATGGATGTCCTTGTTGTTGTCACCAATTGAACAATAGCTTCACTGTTCTTTACGATCCGAACAGTGCCAACAGTCGGTCAGTCAGTCAGTCAGTCAGTTCGTAAGTGTCATCGTACTGTCACTCTGCCACCGCTGTCGCACACCGTCTGCTGAAGTGAACTGAGTGAGTGAGTGTTTGCTGTGACCACTGGCTTACAGCAAAACACGTAATTACAGTGAGTAAAGAGGAATTACTTTATAAGAAGAGTGAGTGTCACACTGGAAGATTTAAGTATTTCGACGTGGCAAGTAGATTGGGTTTACAACAAAGATCAAACAGTTTGCTTGTCACACTGAAAGGTCTTGATAATAAAATTAGTTGCAATTCTCGCGATATTAAGCAATGCTAGCAGTTCTTTGCTAACAGACTGTAATATCCCGGACAAGGCATATAAACTTCGTTACAATTGGAGGGTCAATCTTTTGGGTAATGGCTTATCACTGGTGGTATAAATCTGAAATAATTTTATTTAGTTGAGTCAATCAGTCATTAGATCACAAATTTTTCTTTTGATTTTAACACAAAATTATTTTGACTCATTATAAATTTACTTCGTTTTTTCTGGCAGTCTGCTGAACAGGCAAATAAGCCTTCAAAGCATTTATTGCAATTTTTGATAGTATCACCATTATCATTGTTGAAATTTTGCAGTAACAATGGTGTGTTATTTTAAGTGTCCAAACAACAGAAAAATTACATATTTGCTTTTTAAGCTTTTACCACATACCCACATTCTTCATATCTTATAGTTTTTTTCATTTTTTCATATCATATTTCTGTTCCGAGCATTAATCAATCTTTGATAGTATCACCATTATCCATTTCCATTTCAAGAGAAACTATATAAAATGTTTAGATTTATTTGGGTTTATGATATTTTTCTTAAATATTTTTTCTTCTGGAACAATATTTCATTAATAATAATCGAGTTCTTCCCTCAAAAACTGTATGATGAGAAAATATTTAGACGAGGCAACCTAGCGGTGTAAAAATTTATGGGAATATAGAAGTCTTAATTTGCTTCTAATTTACCGACAACTCTGACATTCCAGATCATTCAAGAAATTTGTTATAATGTTATCAAGTCAAATGATAAATCTATTTATGTTTGCAGAGAGTACAAATTGTTATCACTCTGCCATCAACTCACAAGACATTCTCGCTTTCATAAACGACCACAACAAACATTTCTAAATTGTCTCACTTTGCCGTAGTTATTGGGTCGAACAGTATCAATAATAATATCACTTAATATATTAATAATATCTATGCATGCAATAAGTGCATGTACAATGATTGCAGTTAATTGCCTAATTCTGGTAAGCATTTGCTGAGTTTAATATTTGAGTCGAACAGTATCAGTAATAGCATCACTGAAAAACATGAATTAAAATATATTGAAGTTATATTTGTGACAGGACATGTTCTTTTCCGATTTGGAAATGATATATTTCTAAATTTAGGTGCTATCAGTGATGGAATTAATGTTGACGAGTTCAATTTACGACTTCATTGTCACTCACGAACTTTTTTACGCATATCCGAAAAAGGTCATGCCGTAGCAGCTCATTATGCATAAGAGTTATCGTAAAATAAATCATGCACTTTTTTTTTACTAACAAAAACTAGAAATTTAAAGAGTTTTTACATTATTGAGCTCGTTTTCATATCCACCTCTTTATTGCCCCCACATCATATACTAGTATCTATTTGTTAAAATAACTTTAAAAAATTCTAGAATGACTAGGTCTCAGTCCTGCCATCGCTGCCCAAATTGTAGAAGCAATGGTCAGATATTCAGCCAGATACAAGCAATTAATACAACTTCAACAAATTTCACTCTAAAAAGTTTTCGCTGCTTCTCCATATCCTTCCGATACTTTTTTCAGACGATACTGATTGCTCCATCACAAAGTCTTCTCAAGTACATCGCAATATCCTTATCGTTTTTTCTATCGTTTGCATCAATTACTCACTTTTCATATCGATATCAGCGTCTAACCCATACATATTTCACGATTATGGTAAATCCGACATACTTTCACTTATCAAACAAACATACGTTTCTTTCCTTAAATTCTTTTCTGTTTCGTTGAAATTCCGAGATTCATCATTACATGGTATATATGGATAACACAATATACCATGAAAAAAAAAAAAAAAAATTAAAACACAAGCTTCTATCTTTGAGAAAAGTATCAACTTTGGCACGATTGCTTCCTACATTAGCTACTCATCTACATTCAACATCGATAATCTTTATTATGTGCCTTCCAAGGTAAATTTGATGCATATAATAAAGTGAGAAAAAAAAGCAGCTGAATTTTTCGACCTAATTTCAAGAATATCGGCAGGACCAGCAGTATCTAATTTCCTTATCCCACTACTGTTGAAAGGAATTTCTTGTTATAAAACAATTTCTATTTGTCGCTTTCAGTATCGAATAGCACAATTTGCTTGTGCTGTACTTCATGCAATTTGCTCTTCAAATTCTTTTCAAACAACCCAAAAACTTGCGATTTTCATCAGTGGGGACGAAGAAGACAACTTTATTGCTGCTGCTTGGTGGTACACATTACGTTTACGTTTCTCGACAGTAAGCTTTTCTGAATTGCATGATTTTGAGTTACAGATAACAAAGAGTTGATATGTAAAATTAAGTTTTGATTAAAAAGTTAGTTAAAAATTGAAACATTAATTTATCACTTCTTGCGCAAAAAAGCAAAAAAAAAGTTTTACTTTCAATGCGTTCTCTTTCAGATTTTATTCGCTGCTACTTCCATACTTATTTTATTCCTTTTCTTCCTGAATATCAGAAAAAATCATCGTCAAAGGTAAGCATATAGAGAGCTTTTTGCAACTTTCACTAGACAATCTTGGGAAGAATTGTGCAAGCTTGAGAATAAATAACAGCATTCATCACTTCTTTCGATGTGACCAAACAGAAATCAATAAAATAAAAAAATCAAATTACGTTTTGGTAGCTTTTCAGTTGCAAAATTTCCAGTATTTCATATGATCTATTGATTGTGGAACGGAAGGAAGGAATGTTTTATTTGTGATTTATTTAAAATGATAATTTAATTTGATAAATTACCATAAGCTATGCAGTGACTCCAAAGCATTCGGATTGCATCGAATATTTGCGTCAAAATCTTCAACTTTGGGAATAAAATATTTGAATCTTGAAAATAAGATATTTGCTGTCATCACTGCATCAGCATTTATTAATCAAAATCAATTTCATAAACTTCGAAAAGTTAAAAAAAAAAAAAACCTAGATAAAAAAAATGAATGAAATCAAAAACTGAAGCGATCTTCAATTGTAATATAAATATCAATTAACGGGAACATCAATGGAAGTACGTTCCTTACTATCAATTCTGATAACTGACATTTATTGATCAAAATCATAACAATCATTAGAATGACACTAAAAGGCCATAAATAGCTTTCTGAAGCATTTCTCAACTGATCTATTGCTTTTGGGATTCTAAAAACTACATGTACCAAGAATACATGTAATTCAAACTCCACACGCCCCAAAAACAAGCAGTACTTGATGGATACCACCAACACCACCAGTACCACCAATTTTGTGCTTCTAATTTAGGAACTGGAGCTACCGTTAAGGAAGGCAAGATCGTTGAAATTAATACATCTCTTAAAGGAGGTTCTGTAAGCATCGTTCGTGGTGCTGTAGAAATAAGAGTGACACGTTTTGAAGTTGTTAGAGTTGTTGATGTCGTAGAGGGCATTTTTACAGTAGTTGCAGTTGTTGTTGATTGTGATGTCGTAGAGGACGCTGTTGAAGTTGTTACTGATGTTGTTGATTTTGATGTCGTAGAGGACGCTGTTGAAGTTGTTACTGATGTTGTTGATTGTGATGTCGTAGAGGACGCTGTTTGTACTGATGTTTGATTTTGATCGTAGAGAACGCTGTTGAAGTTGTTATTGATGTTGTTGATTGTGATGTCGTAGAGGACGCTGTTGAAGTTGTTATTGATGTTGTTGATTGTGATGTCGTAGAGGACGCTGTTGAAGTTGTTACTGATGTTGTTGATTTTGATGTCGTAGAGGACGCTGTTGAAGTTGTTACTGATGTTGTTGATTGTGATGTCGTAGAGGACGCTGTTGAAGTTGTTACTGATGTTGTTGATTTTGATGTCGTAGAGGACGCTGTTGAAGTTGTTATTGATGTTGTTGATTGTGATGTCGTAGAGGACGCTGTTGAAGTTGTTACTGATGTTGTTGATTTTGATGTCGTAGAGGACGCTGTTGAAGTTGTTACTGATGTTGTTGATTTTGATGTCGTAGGGGATGATGCTGAAGTCGGCTATAATAATGTGCTGTTAAATATGATGAAGTTGGTAAAAATAATGGAAGATGGGAAATAAAATAAAATTGATAAAATTTCCACAGTTCATTAACAGGCATCAATGATGTTTATTACTAAAAAAATTTTTTTTTTTGGTTTGATTATGAAAGAAATATAAAACAGTAAATTCAACATGGAGGAAAAAATCAATCGATCAATTGGACTTTTTATTGACAAATCAATAAAAAATGATCATTTTATTCGCACAGTACTTCTATCTGATCAATTTCAGTCCTTTTATTTGTTAAAAACGATTATTCTGGCTGATAAAATTTAGAATAAAATTGTTACCATTATCATGTTGAACAACAAAATAGCGGTGAAGACAAAAGCAGATCTTTTTTTTGCGATCATCGTTTAATTTGATCAATCGGATTGAAATTAAATACAAAAGGAGTTGTTTATGAATGATATCACCAAGCGGATGCTTCATGAAATTTATTTACTTAATCAGGCAAGCGATGATTAAGCGCAGATTATCAACCATTCAAATTCCGTACACGAATTTTTTGCACATAACACTAACAGTTCCAGCATTCACTACTGTGTCTAATGTACTTCATTCAGAACGCATTGATGTAATCCTCGTTCTTCAAGTATGATAAGAAAATTCCTGTCCTACATTCCGTACCGGTAAAATAAACCTTCTGCCATTCACAAGTAAACTATTTTTCGCGCAACATTTGAAATGAAGGATTATAACTTCCAGTTTTTCTTTTCTAATATCTAGTAGCGACGACGAAGAAGCAGATGGCTTATAATTTGCAGTGTGACTGAAATGCACCGGAATTGTTATCGAGCCGAACGTCCTGCACTGAAAGATTTGATGACATTTATATAAGAATTGTTTTACTTTGCATTTATTTGGAATAATTGAATTGAATTGTAAGCATTGCTTTCCAAAATAGCACTACTCATCCAAAGCTTCAGGAAAGCGGGCATTGTTTAATGCAGCTACATCAATGAGGCTTCGCATTTGCATTCAATTGGTGAATTTTCTTTAATATAAGAGAAATCAAAAGATATGAAATGTAAACATCTTCAAATGGACAGAAAAAAGTAGTTCTTTCCATTAGAATCAAAATTGTACAACAAAACTCTGCTAATATCTAACTGTCTGTCATTCGAACATTTATCAAACCATTGTTGCTAATCATTTAGAAATAATGATTACAATGATATCATCCTTGATCAGTTATTTTATTATCATTCAACTATCTTTCAATTAATCTTATAGAAATCATTCAAGCGAGAATCAATAATTTATAAATTAAAAATATTAGTCTTTTTTTTGCTGTGAAATAACCAAGAAATAATTACATAAAACCATTGCAAAAATAATTGAAAAGTTCAAATATTTATAATGTTAAGATTCTTATGTAATTCTAATATATGATTTTACAGAATGATATAAGTAAATGAGGATATGTATCGATATTCACTTTTTTCCATGATCTCCCACAGACCGGTTGGAAAAGTTCGAATTGTTTCGTTCATTTAAAATTAATGGATAATTTCAGTTCATATTGCAAAGCAAATCAAACTTTTTGTTCCCATTTGTTTTTTTTTTTTAAATATTCATAAAAAGGTCAAAAAATTTTTATCACTTGGAATATTTTAGGAGTCTGTGATCGGTAACCTGTTAACATTCACTTAAGCTAACAAGAAATGGTATATTATAGGCTGATTGATTTGTGTGCTTCGATTTTAAAATCTGAAATGAATAGCTAAAAGAAGTTGTATTCTTCGCTGAAGTGAAAATATTTGACATGGATTGCCGGTTTTAATTAGCTTCATTTTGCAAATTTATGTAAAAGTTCCGGAATGCTGCTTTAATTTTTACATAATACCTTTCAATAAACATATCGGAACATTGCTTGAAAATTTTTAGATTCCTAATTTTCTATAAAACAATGAGTTTTTCTTATCAATCAGTTACTGAAATAATCCATAAATCAATTAGCACACAGCAAATATGTTCTCTTTATAACGTTTATCCAAGTGATTATTATCATCACAATACTCAGTTATACTTATCATTGTTTATTCTTTGATTTATACCGATTCATCATGATAAATTTGATTAGTCGAAGAAGAATAAATCCAGTAGATTTGTGACAAAATATCTTTGTAGACTCTATTTGTATTTATATGTGCAACTAAATGGTTCATCATGTTTCCGCTTTCATGTTGTTCAGTATTTCGGAAAATCTTTATCAGAAACTTTTGTTGACATCAAATTGACAAATTGTGAAAACGTTAAATTATACATGCATACATATTACTCTTTCACTACTCCGTATTCGTTTTCTTTTCTCCCTGATTCCGCATTTCAGCCGTATCCTCTTCAGGAAACCATTTAATTTCATCATGCACTGATTGTGTTGTCTGCTCGAAGCGAGCTTCCAGGATACCTTAATGAAAGCATAATTATTCATTCATTATAAAATGATTTTTTTTTTTTGAAAGTGTAAATGTAATTTTGAAAATATAAAACGAACTAAAATGAATCAATTTAGTTTTTGTTTCATTCAAGCTATCCAACTATATTCTTTAATTTGTGTGATTATTGGATCTACACTCACTATTATACTCATTTTTGATAATGATTTTAATGATCATTTTTGTTATACAGAGATAGTTTATCTTTGCTCAAGTATCGTTCAAAACATGTATTATTGAAATGATCATGCAAAACGAATTCTGAAATTAACTATTGGCGTCACTTAGACTATTTTGGATAACGTAAATTTTGCAAACTAATTATGCTGTATAAAACATAAAAGGATTGAAAATAGCATTATTAGAAGTATGATATTTCTGACATTTGTGCATGAAATTAACATTGAATTTTAAAATACTTAACAGTTTTTATTTCACGTTTCTTTTTGTAAGAAGTTCCATAAAAAGTAATATTCGATAAAGGTGAAAAGTATACCAAACACTAGAAGTCATTTTAAAATTTGAACAACAAATGCAGGATAAGTAAGAAAAAATCTGAGAAAGACGTAAATTCTGAAAATTAGTCTTAATACATGTTTTGAAACATAAATGTTGTGGCGAAGAAATAATGAAGCGAATGGTCCATGCAGAAAAAAAGGACTAAATCTAATTTCATATCCTAATTTCCATTGAACACATGAAGTTTCATGGCCAATGGTCGCAAAATACTTTAACTGGGATGGAAATAGATGAGAATGATTAAAACGCGAAGTAATCTTAATTAAAACAAAACTGTAACTAGCAAAATATAGGGTCAGATTATCATTTTCCATTAACACTAGTTTTTTGTTATAACTTTAACAAAATATTTCATGGCTTCCTACAAAAAAAGAAACAGCTAACCGTCCCATGTTGGCATTGTCATAATTTCGTTTTCCACATTTAATAGATTACCGCTTGCTTCGCAATGCTTCTGAAATCTTCTTTTGCTTCCGATGCTTTAATTATCACAAAATAAACTACAATGTTTTATTGTAATGCTATCTTGTATTGCTATTGCTATATTGATGTCTTACCGCAGTTGCCATTGGTGCGATAATTTTACGCCAATGCAATCGAAGATTTTTCCACATAAACAAAATAATTGCAACCCAAATGAATACGGGTATTAGCATCCAATAAATAATTAACATGAAAATCCATATTCTGCACAAATTACTCTTTTATTAATTCTTTATCATTTGTTAATCATTTGAAATTTTTGTGGAGCTAAAAATAAGTTGATTTAATACAAACATGCTGCCGTTATCAGCTTGTTTGTTGATCATTTGAATAGTTTCTCCAACATATTTCAAGCAGTTTAATTTTGTTGCGATATAACTAGAAATGAAAATGAAACTGGAGGTAAAACATACATTTCAGTGATTTATTCTCTTTAAAGAAATTTCTGAAACTTACTTTTCTATCCTTTGCATGTAAATAATGTTTGTTCATTCTATCTCCATATTCATTTTGTGACAACTGATCATATTGCCTTAGTCTCAGTGACATTTGAACTCAAATTGTTGGCGATAATAGTATATGTTTTAAAATTCATTAATGATTAGTTGAAAAATGAACAAACACATTTATATCGTTTTAATTCATAAATTGCCGATAGTTGTTATCATGCTAGCAACGGTATTATCAAGTTTCGTAAATATCCGATTAGTTCCCAAATATGTTGGTTTTCAATTTGCCGCTTTTGACGTTCCTTTTTGGTTACTGCATTTGTGAAATACATCATAGTCTATTTTTACGTTTCCCATAGTAATGATAAAAAAGTGTTGCTACTATTATTGTCATTATTAAGGAATATAGCTCGAGTTCTAGCATTTTGATGATGATAAGATTGCCATGTCATGCAATATGGAAGCACTGTGGGAATATATAACTGAACACGTGAAGTATTTATGCTAGCAATTTCAAGCCAGCTTTTAAATTGTGTCCGTTAATCTAGACGATGATCGTTCATGCTACACCTTTGGTGACAAGAATCGTGGGAGCATGCATCACATCTCTTGATATTGACGTAATTAACTTGTAATGAACATTAATCAGTGACACTGTTAAATTGTAGATGCTAACAAATACTTTGAAAGTGATGAATGTTACATACGCATCAAATTTAAAAGTTTTTGGTAATATTTTGAATTGATTGTCTGACGTAAGTCATCCATTTTTTGCATTCTTGCATCGTCAATTATTGACATCGAATTATTAACCTTGCAGGAAAATGGATACAAAGATCGTTAATATTTTATATCTTTACCCTGCTGCAATAATTCATAACTTGTATCAAAATACTTGGCAGTGCAATTTCTTGATCAATCTTTAAAAATATTTTCTATATATTGTCTAGGAATAAAATAACTTTATTGCAATATGAATTTTGCAGTACAAGTGTAACTTACCCAAGCAAATATAGAAGAATTTTCAACGATGCAAAGTATGTTTATTGATATAAACAACATGACATAAAACTTGCTATAAATTTTCCATTTTTGTTCCTTAATTTTTTTTTTGTTGCCAATTTTCCAGCAATCAAAATTAAATACTGCTTAAACTTTCTTCTAAAGCATTAAAAGTCTTTGGATTAATGATAAATGAAGCAAGAAACTTACTCATCATTTTTACACCACTGTTAGTATTAATGGCCAATTAACCGCAATTGGAAGCAATCAATTAAAAAACAGTACAATAATCTTATCTTATCCAATCGTTTATGTCTACATAATGTTTTGCCAAAATTTACATATTTTGAAACAAGCGTTGAAGATTAGCATTCGTTTGAATTCCCTCAGTGAATAAACGAAAGTAATATATAAATTATAATAATGCTTAATTGTTGAAATCGTATATCACCTTATACCCAAAAATATGAAAAGTACGAAAACAGCGAGGGTCATTCTGAAATTTCAATAAAAGAAACTTCTGAACAGTAAACGTAAAAATACGAATTCAAATAACTGAATATATATTTTTAAATATAGACAAAAAAGAATAAACTGATCTCGTGTAGACGACCGATTTAAAAATTCACGTTATGGTAATGAAAAATCAGTGGTGATAAAACATATCACTAATAATATATTTTGCCTCCTTTTGTAAATTTGGCCTATTATTTCGTGTAATCGATTTCCAAAAGTAATTCATAAACAGAAATAATGATTAAAACAAATGCACTATCAAAAACGGTCTTCGTAATAGATCAACTTCCTTTTCGATTATGTATAGTAAAAAACCTTGCAGTAATAGCAATAATAATTATTATTGTCATTATTGTTGTTTTACTTACTAATAAATTAGTAGTAACTAGCAAGTATTTGCTTAAGAAATGAAAAGTAATATTGAAAGTAATGATAGTAATAAGGAGAATTCAACTCCATGGAATATTTCATGATTTAGAATGCACTACAAATGATCAAGTAGAGGGAATAAGTAATTTCTGATCAAGGATGATATCATTGTAATCATTATTTCTAAATGATTAGCAACAATGGTTTGATAAATGTTCGAATGACAGACAGTTAGATATTAGCAGAGTTTTGTTGTACAATTTTGATTCTAATGGAAAGAACTACTTTTTTCTGTCCATTTGAAGATGTTTACATTTCATATCTTTTGATTTCTCTTATATTAAAGAAAATTCACCAATTGAATGCAAATGCGAAGCCTCATTGATGTAGCTGCATTAAAACAATGCCCGCTTTCCTGAAGCTTTGGATGAGTAGTGCTATTTTGGAAAGCAATGCTTACAATTCAATTCAATTATTCCAAATAAATGCAAAGTAAAACAATTCTTATATAAATGTCATCAAATCTTTCAGTGCAGGACGTTCGGCTCGATAACAATTCCGGTGCATTTCAGTCACACTGCAAATTATAAGCCATCTGCTTCTTCGTCGTCCGCTACTAGATATTAGAAAAGAAAAAACTGGAAGTTATAATTCCTGTCATTTCAAATGTTGCGCGAAAAATAGTTTACTTGTGAATGGCAGAAGGTTTATTTTACCGGTACGGAATGTAGGACAGGAATTTTCTTATCATACTTGAAGAACGAGGATTACATCAATGCGTTCTGAATGAAGTAGCATTAGACACAGTAGTGAATGCCGTGAACTGTTAGTGTTTATGTGCAAAAAATTCGTGTACGGAATTTTGAATGGTTGATAATCTGCGCTTAATCATTCTCGCTTGCCTGATTAAGTAAATAATTTCATGAAGCATCCGCTTGGTGATATCATCATAAACAACTCCTTTTGTATTTAATTTCAATCCGATTGATCAAATTAAACGATGATCGCAAAAAAAAGATCTGCTTTTGTCTTCACCGCTATTTGTTGTTCAACATGATAATGGTAACAATTTTATTCTAAATTTTTATCAGCCAGATAATCGTTTTAACAAATAAAAGGACTGAAATTGATCAGATAGAAGTACTGTGCGAATAAAATGATCATTTTTTATTGATTTGTCAATAAAAAGTCCAATTGATCGATTGATTTTTTCCTCCATGTTGAATTTACTGTTTTATATTTCTTTCATAATCAAACCAAAAAAAAAAATTTTTTTAGTAAATAAACATCATTGATGCCTGTTAATGAACTGTGGAAATTTTATCATTTTATTTTATTTCCATCTTCCAT